GAATCAATGGAGCAGAAAAGCTTAGCAGCATTCCTTTTTTCCTGTTTATTTGTATGGTCTGCAGATTTAAATTTAAATAGTAAGGAAAACAAGAATAAAATCAGACTGTACAAAGGTGAAATAAACTGCTGAACTGTTATAAATAAAAAGGAAGCAAAATGTATGATTACGTTTGTGTGTGATTGCCTATATAGTATATAATGCATATAGGCAACATCCAAGTCAATTGTTCCCTCATTTTGAATAGATCGTTATTTTTTATATACAGTACAATGATTCTTTAAAAATCGTTTTTTTTGTTTTCCAAACTCCTCAGTAGGATCCTTCCGAAATCATTAAAAACACAAACTTTCTTTTAGCTGCTTAGTGCCTAGTTCTGCCTGTTTTGTAAATGTACCTTGCCATTTTCTGTGACAAAGCCATTGCAGAGCACCCCACCGGTTGTGATTATATCTGTCACACCCACAGTCACCGTGGCTCAGACAGGTTTGTCAAAATATAGTGCTATGATCTGCATGTACACACCCTAAGGCTTCAAGAACCAGGCTCCAATACTACATGTATCCCTCAGAGCTGTAAATAAATTTGTGAAATTAACGACAGCAAGGAGAAGAATAATTAAACTAGAAATGTATAGGATTTCATGGCCAAATAACTTCCGCCACTGTCTGGAATATTTTATGCCCAGAGGGCTAAAGCTAGGCCAAGAGAAATTTTGACATGACCAGCCAGATAGCAGCAGAGACAGCAATTTGCAGCAGTTATTCACTCGCTGTTTATGAATATTAGGATGCACTACAGTGCTCCCAAGACACCATGCTGGCCTGCCTGTTTGTTCCACCATTATGGGATTACTCATCAGATGTCTTTCACTGTGAGAAACAGGTTGAGCCAAACAGTTCAACCAGGGAAATGCTTCCCCTGGCTCTTTCCTAAAAAAAGATCCACACTGCCACCTTTTGCAAAGCACACGCAACTGCACTTCAGAGCTGAAGAAAAGAGCTCATCCACAGAAAATGAAAAATATCAGTTACAGCTGAACCTTTGAAATGTTATGTCCTTCCAGGCCTACTGACTGGACAGATGAGTTTTCTTTTAGAGTACAAAACATTTTAAGCATCCTCTGGTAAATCAATGTAAAGTTTACATTTAATTTACTTAATGTACATATAACGATATCAGAAGTATAAAAAGGAGAAGTATCACTTTTCCTTTTAGATTTGCATGATGAATCATGTTAAAACATCTCTTCTTTTACCAGACTCTCGTTATGAATACTCTGATCATTTCAAATGAGTAGTTTATCTCACCAGACCCTGGATGTTTAAAAATCAAATTTTAGTAAAAAAATTAAATAAAAGGTATAAGCCTTCCAAATGTCCATCCTTTCATCCTTCGAAGCACAAGAACATGACATGACAGAGAATTGGAAGATTTCAGCCTGCTACCTGAGAGGTAAAGTAATTTTACAAAAAAATATCTTGGACAACATCCTTCTCACCAAAAAACGGGCTGAATGAGGGGACTATCTGCATGTTTTCACCACGAATATAAAAATATTTTATCAGAAAGTATGATGGAGCTATTTTTTCTATGCAATCCTTTTATTAGAATTTGACTGTAAAACACCGAACGGAGTATTCATGCTATCAGCTTAACTAGTAGATTGAGAACAAAATGAAAGAAATCTGCAATAAATCTCACAGCGACCACAAGTTAATAAGGACAGTGTACCATTGGAGTTTTTTTCTCGTTTTTCGTTTTGAGACATCTGTACTCATTATAGTGCTCTGATCTGTAAATGTAAAGGGCCATATCTCCAAAGTGCCTGTTTTCTCTGCACATGCATATTTCACAACATAATTGGAAATAATGCATTAAGTCACATTCCACTGCGTTCATCCAGTATTTTATTAATTAATCATAAATCCCGGAATCCCCATCCTATAGACTCCTACTATTAACCCCATTAATCCACCTGAAAGTGAAAAGTGGTAAAGAACAAAATCTGGTTTTCCTTACAGTTAAACTGGATGTGTTTTTGTTGTACATTGTCCCATCTGAGGCTCAAATGCAAAACTAAATGCAATTCATAAAAGTAGATATTTGTACTGTAGCATTAAAATGTACGTGTAGTGATAAATTGGTAATATCGTAAGTAGCATAGCAAAGTGCAGTGGCTCATGTTTTTTTTTTAAAGGTATTTGCCAAATTACAGAAGCTACCACTTAAATCTTCAAACCAGCTGTTTTTTTTTCAGATCTCTTTATGACTGTTTTATAAATATTTATATGTTTATGCACACAGTACACCATTCCAATTCAAGCCAAAGGTGGAGACCCTTTATGGAGGCTTTTCTGCAATAATAACATGGGTTTTCTGCTATGCCAGCTGCATTATTTAAAGTTTATGCAAATGAAAAACCTACAATACTTACAGTATTTATTGGTACGAGTTCCCAGCTGCATCAATAATGTTCTTTGTTTCGACATAATTGGTAAACAACCACTTGGATCATTCACCAGATTTCTCTTCTGTTTTGAAAACGAAAGCATATACAATGTTTAAGCATGTGTCTAGGGAATAAGTATGCCCACAACAGCAATAAAATGCTTAAAACCTCAGTTTAATGGTCAATAAACCAAGTTTGTATAGCACAACTTTACACTAATGTTAGTACTAACTACAGGCGAGCAGAACCATGCAGTAACACAATGAAAGGCTACCTGTAATGTATTTCCTGGCTTAACAGTACAATGAAAAATTTATTGAATGAGCCAACGTCAATCTAACAAGGTCTTCTTGTTTGTCTGAAAACCAGAAAAGGTATGATTATCCTATAAATCACAACTTTACTTGTTTACTGATTTTATGCAGTAGGATGCACATACATCATTTTCAACCTATTATTCAACACCCTACTAGATCACAGTGATGTAAAAGCTACTGCAGTAATTCAATTGTCCCTTTAAATGAAATTTTACACAGTAGTAAGCTATAACAGACCTGGGGGCATTCATATTTCACACATACCGTAAATAACCGTAGCATGTTAGTAGAAAAAAAACAAATTCTTAGACTCAAATTTCTCCCTTGCACATTATGTGAGACTGAGGCAAAATATAATTCGATTAGCATTTTAATGACCAGAATGTCTTGTGAAAAATCTAGGTTATAACTGGTTGATAAAACAAACAACACAGAACAAGAAAATATGCAAGAATATTCTAAAGGATGTATGTAAAACCATGTCAGAAAAACATTACCAGAAATTTACAATTTAGTTTCATTTTACTATTAATGGTGCATTACGTACTGTGCATGATCACATACATACTAATGTATTAATATTCTGTTATTTGCTATGCATGAATGTTTCATGATTTTGCTCATCATCTAACTGTTTTTCTTAATTGTAAAGAGTAGGGAGGTATTTGTGCTTGGGCACAGTATTAACTATTATGCAGAATACCTTGTTTTTGACAAAATGTGATTCTCATATTGATACACAACATACAGATATTTGTGTTAGGGCTTTCAAACAATGCAGACACTTTAAAATATACAATTAGAGAGTGCATGTGTAGTTTTGCAATGAATAATATATAGACTGTGAATGGCTAGTCATTCAGCTAGGAATTTTCCATTTCCTGGTGTTTTCAGCTGTCAGCAGAACACATTACACAATCAATATAGTATTACAAGCTACAAGCACATATCCATTGGAAGAAAAACAACAGTGAAGCATATTTTTATATTAGTTATATTTTTTATAACTAAGTGTCATTGAATGCAGTCTTATTTAATAGCATTTCCTCACAATGAAATACACAAATATAAAGCCCAGAATTATAATTTAGTCAGAAGGAAAACAGAAACCCATCCTCAAGCAATATAGGTGAAGGAGTTCACCCACTAGTGAGTCATTATACTTGATGGTTACAACATATTCTTGAGGAGAAGCCAGGAAATCCGTTCGCCATAATGGATTTTAGTTAGAATATCTGTCAGTCTTGTAATTTATTAATAATTTATAACTGAATTTGTAAGACAGGATGTAACAAAGATCAACAGCAGTGCTAGTAGTAGGTCAGTAGTAGTTCAATTGCTTCCTTAGAAACTGCTGTGAGTCAGGAAGAGAAGAGAATTTATCTCACAGGGACTCATAAAAAAACTTTTCATTGGTGGCTGAGTCTTCATTTGAGTAAAGGTAGGAATATAAAAAGGTCACAGATAAGAGGGCATCATTCAGCCCCTGTTGCTTATAAGGGTGCTAGAACTAAATGAATCTTACTCATTCAGCCATTTGAGAAGACAGTGTCAGCTTGGTTCCCTCTTTGATAACCCTTTCTGTTCTCAAACTATTCTCAGTTAAAAACACACTTCTCTGTAGTCTCCACTTGTTTCCTCGAGTTCGCATTTCACTGTAAATTCTGAAGAAGTCCATTGGGTTGACTTTTACGATCCCTTTGAGGACTTTGAATACTTGAATCCAGTCTCTTTGTTGTCTTTCAAAACTAAGCAGATTCGCTTCTACTATGGTATGAAAATAAAAGTTTAAATGACTTTTACACTGACATGGAAGCACAAAGATGTAAACTGTAACAATGCTTGCATCATGCTAGCATGATCCAAAAAAAAAAACTTAGTTCAGTTGGACTCTAATCAAGTTTGGAGGTGTATGGCAAATACTTTGACAAACCATCACAAATATGTCAATATTAAGTATTTTTTTCTTATCATTTGATACTCTTGTGTTCTGACAGTTGCATAGATTTTTAAGCTTAAGAGGGAAAATATCCTTCCAGCACTTCTGACAAAATGCCTCACCGTACTCCTTGGCAGTTTCATCTAATATTTTTCAGAGGACTAAATGAGATTCTTAATTACAGCCAGCAACACGATACGAAAATAATAATCAGAGCAGAAAATATTGAGGAAGCCTAAACCGTCAAGAAATAAAACTAGTCACTAGTGCATCAAATTAAAGTGTCACAATGAAACGTGGAAAACATCCTTTAATGGATGAAAACACGAGATCTCTCCAAACAGTTAGCTGCACATGAGAACATAAACCCCAAAATATCATTTTATTTGTGAGGCAGTACTGCTAAAGCCACCAGAACAGTTTTTGTTTCCTAGTTTGTTGGCATGCACAAATGTAGGAAAGTAAAGAATAAAGAACTGAATGCCTTTGTGTTCCAGAAACAGGGGTGCTGAAAGTACAAACCACCATGGAGGTCATGTTTCGCTTTGGTAGAAAGTATTTATAATATTTTGTAAGCCGGTATGCTGGATCATTAGAAAAGTCCACCTTGGGACTCCTGAGAGAGAGTTTGAGACATGTTATTCCTTCCGTCAGTGTAAGGGAGGCTCCATTCAATCTTGAACACTCTACAGAAGCAAACAGACAACCTTTTTTACGGCAGGCAATGGTCCAGTGGCCTTCTTAATTCCATCCGCTTCTCTCATAGTTGTTTGCTTTCCATTATTGTCCCCTGGGTGTGCGTGCGGTAGAAATCCCCTAGTCTGTGTTAGCCTTTTGCCTTCTTGTAGTAATATGCTCAATTTTGTGCAGCAGGTCCCCAGGGAGCGAGTTAATAGATACTGCCTTGTGGAGTAAAGGTTTACAGAGGCATATTGATGTAGTGAGTGACTCAGATGGAAAGAAGCAATTTGCCATTCTGTCCCCTCTGGTCTTGATGCATAACTCTACGAAAACTTTTGATACCTATAAATTGAAGGAAGCAGTGTAGGCTGTAGGCTGAAGTACTTAGGGCTAGCTTTGGCTTCCCATAACTATTCTTGACCCAGAGCTCTAGACTTTGTATCTTACTGTGGCACTCGGTCGTCCAACATCCACACTGCCCTGCAGGACAAGAGGCATCGGCAAGCCCAACCTCTCAATTCTTTTTTTACTGAAACGGCTTGTGCAGCATGTAGTCCCATACATACCAGCGTGCTTATTCACAGTCCCCAACACGCCTCATGCGTTAAAAGCCACAGTCCAGCGCAGACTTGCAAAATTCACATCAACAGAAAAGAAAAGGCCGGGCTTGCTCTCAATGCACAAAAGTAGAATAAAAAATTAGAATTCACAAATTTAACGAACACCTTAAAAAAAAAAAACATCTTGATTTGGTTTTGCAAATTGAAAACAGTTTCTTTTTTTTTGTGTATACCAGATTAAATGTTTTCTTTTAAAAGGATATGGCCTCAGTATTACTCTTAAGGACAACTTCAAAGTAGTTTCCACTGGCAAAAAGAAAATGTGTATACCAGCCTATTAGTCTTTTCCATGAACTTTGTTAACCAGTTAAAGATACCCATTTATCAGATTCAAAACAAAGAGTTAACATAAATCAATCCATATCATGGCACTTGGGCATTTTAAAAGTATTCTCACACTGAATCCAGACTACTGGTTTGGTGAACATAATTGAATACTCTTTTCTCTGCTCAATTTTGGGGTCTACAAAAAAAGGTTTAGGGATAATCTACAAAATGTTTAAGGAATTTGCTCAGATAACAAATGATCAATTTTCTGTATGCTATTGCAGCCTCCCAGCAGATGATGTTTACAAGGCAAGTGTATCGATGAAGACAGATTGATGCTTATGGGAATGTTGAACATGCTGCATTTTCCAAGGTAAACTCAGATGGCTTCTTCGGTGTTGTCTCGAATACATTTTAAAAATGATTACATCTGCAAGTGCAAAAAAACATTAAGCTGTTCAGTTCACCTGTACTTCACTGAGAAGATTTCTGTTTTATAACCATAAATTAAATTTTAGAAGTACAGAACTGAGGAATCAGAATTCCATTAGCTCTGCTTGTCAGAACACTTAGCTGTCAATGGGTTACTAGCTTTATTAATCACAGATTATACACATGGTCTTCATCCTTTATCTACTCAAAGGGAAATTGAAATTGCTGAAACTGCTTTTAGATGGCTATACATCAAACCAATAGAGCTCATGATTGGAAAGCACAGGACAGTGGATTACTCATATCCAGTCAGTCTACCGTTGTGCGTTCTATCAATTTCTCACTGCTGTACGCTCCATGATAAAAGCAAAAAAAAAAAACTTCAATAGTCATTGTGTACAGAAGACTAATCTTTAAAGAAAGTTATGTAAACGTCACCACTGACCATGTATTGTAAGCGTTTTATTTCAGGCGTGAAGATCCTTCACAGGAGTGACCCTGGAACATCACAGTCCAGCACATTTTACAAGTCACCCTTAAATTAACAATTCCTCAAGACGTGGAATGTGAACGTTGATCAAGTTAACTAACTCAATACATCCTAGAACTACTGTCCTTGAGAACCTACAAGATCACTTTACATTTTAAATCTCTCTAAACTACCGAATTTAAGAAATCACCTACAGTGCGTCAGAAGCCAAAAAATAATTGCTCCATGTGTTTAGAAATTAACGATTTGAGGGTGACCCACAAAACCCGCGGGTGGCAGGATTTCTGCTCTTCAGAAACAGCGTGACCCACCCCTCAGCCTCAACACCAGTTAAAATGAAAGAGCAAGAGAGGCCACTGTGACTGGAATCCAATCCTCACAACCAACCAAATCACATACCGGGGCAAATAACGCAAAACTAGCCTACTCCTTTCCCCGGATGGAATAAGAAACAAAACAATAAATAAAAATCGATCAATCTTCAGATTCGCTGCCACTTTGTAACTTCACGTGCCCTGCCTGTCTCACAAGCCACTCAGTTTAGAATAACCATTTATTAACAAAGCAAAAGACATAGCCCACGGTCTTGGGAGTGTTGTCACTTGCAACTACATGCTCCGCCGCCGCTGTCAGCTCTGCTCTCAGATCCAGAATTTCAATGCGGGGCTACCCGGCAGGCCGAGGGGCAGAGGAGGGGGAAAGTCGCGTTTTTCTTTGGAAGTGCTGAATTCCGATAATCTGCATGCTCCACGGCCAGCTGCCGGTCCTCTCCGACGTGTCACAGTGCATTAAGCTCTGCGGCCGGATGACAACCCAATAATGTCTTTGGAGAAATGAAAATGAGGACCTAAATAGTAAGAGCTGCAACTGCTTCGATGTTTAAAGGGGACGGCAAGTATGGAGTCCGGGGAAGTTCTTTGGTCTCCTCCTCGTTGCATGTAAAATGAGATTCGAGACCAAAAAAAAGATCGCATCTTGCTTCCAGAACCAGTAAGTATGCTGAGCTTATGTTCTCTATGAAAGCAAAAGGAATGTTTTTACTACATTTGTTTGAAACAAATGAATATATACACACCCCCAAAAGGTCTTCAGATTTTTAAAAAACATTTTTACACTTTTTCACGAATATATTTTCATCATTGCAACTATGGCACTTTTTTCAGGGAAACTGAATTGTTGTATCCTCCAAAATGCCTAAACCACACAGAAGAATCTCTGGTGAAGGGCATAAATGTGAAGCATCTCAAAGAAATACAGACTTGAGTACATTCTTCACAGGCACAACCTTGGTAGGTAAGTATTCTGCACATTAACCTGGTAATAGTACAGGTCAGAAAAACAAATAGATGTGCATTTTTAAATCATTGCTTCTTCAACTCTTCATATAACTTTTGTTTCGACACTTAATTGCATGAACTTCAGATGCACTGTACTGTATTTGGGTCTATTAATTTCAAAGCATAAGGAAACTGTGACTGCAAATGTACTAAATTGACATTTTTTTCATTTTTAATACTAAAAAAAGTTTAATATATTTTAATTTACTATGACAAAGATGGAATGTGCAAGTGGTTGCATGAAATACAAGTGTGAGACATTTTATTCTCAAAGAAAAAAAAACTTAAAGGAAAAGGACAGGAACTCAAGCACTAGGCTTTGCTGCAATGATTAAAGTACCTTGACTACAGTATCTCAGAACATAACTAATGACTATACACAAGTATATGTACTTTTCTTAATTTGTCAAAATGCTTTCCACATTTGCCATAAATAAATTACACCTATACCATATTAAATTAGCAGTCTAAAACAGCCTTTTCATTTTACTGGGATACTACACACAGAGTAGTGCATTAGAAGAACTGTTCATCAGGAAACACATCTGCTTCAGAAACACTTTAGTAACTCTGCCTCTCAAAACAAGCAGTAGTTTCACATTTTATACACGCAAACCCATTAATTAAGAACCTGGTTCCTTTCATTTCTAAGGGACAACTGGTGGTTATTAATGTTACTGTCACTCTTTTAATCTGTAGGTCTGTGCAAGGTTTATTTCTAATATGAAAAGATTCTGTATTGCTTCATTTCCTGCTTGACAATAAAAGGGCATTCCATTCGGGGCACTTGCTTTACACTTCATTTGTTTTTCAATTCGCTGCCATTTGCACATGCTAATTTTGTTATTGACTGATCTGGCCTTCTTATAACTTGTGTCAGCATTTATTAATGTCCAGCAGCTGCTGTCGTGCACTGACAGGAGATGTTTTTTTCTTAATTATATTAAAATGGAACACAAGCTACGAGACCTTTTTCTGAAGCAGACATTTAATATAGAAGTCTCCTTTTTTACACCTCTATACATCAAGGCATTCAGGCAAAGCTACTGCTTCGCAGTCCAGGCGTAAATATACTTGACATGAAACTAGCTTCAAGTATTCAGATATTCAGGATGAGAAACACCATTTGCTTCTCTCATACTTGCTGCTCTGCTCTAGCTGAAACACTTTCCCAGCTTGTCCTCTCATAGCTACAGAATAGGCTAAAGCTGCTCTAAGAAACATGAAAAGCAACAAAACCACAAATGTGCAAATAATGTTTCAATGTTAAACCCCCTGTATTTAGGCTTACCTGTATTCAAGCAAATGTCAGATTCTCAGAAATACTACCCATAAGCTCCATTGTACAACTACAAATTTCAATAAAAATATCAATCTAGCACAGAAAAATTGTCAACAATTAGCTTTCATCGTAGCTTTAGAAACACAAACTAATTAAAACTAAGGTAAAACAGGTTAATCTGAGAGTTCTTTAAAATGACACTTTTGAAGAACAGAGATAAAGCTAACATTTTTGACAAATGTTATGTTCAGAAGCTATATTTTTCATTTATCTACTTCTGCTCAATAAGATTTTTTTTATTTAATCTCGTGACCCTAAATATTAAGAAAGAATTTAGTAAGAATACTAGACTATCTGCCATCTACACTTCGGTGAAATCTACATTTAAATTGTGCTGCCTGCAATAACGAGTTCCATAGATTAGATGTTTTAGTACATAACACATTTTTGCATATTAGAGTTTGTGATTTTCAAACCTAGTAGTGCAACAGAAAGATCCTAAAAACAGACTAACACACCTGATTTCTAAAGTATAAAGATCACTGTAACATCTGCATGAAACGGCACAATTAACAGTCTAGAGAATGGCATTTGCTTCTTTACTAAACACCTCTTATGAGAATAATCGGCGAGAATTAGTAGCTACACAATGAGTCTTCATGACTTTCAAAATCAAACTAAACTATTAAATCAAATGATCTAGAACAAAAATACGTCACTCATCTTCAGTTGTCTCATGTTGGAACCAATTAATTCACACTATGGAAGACAACAGAAAATACAAATTACTTAAAAACAGACATCCATGATAAAGTTTTAAGACTGCCTTTATTTAAAAGAAGCCATTATCTTAGTGTTTTGCCTCAAAGTAACAGGAAAAAAGTATTTGTAATGGATTCTGGGTGTAATAGGAGTACTACTACAACTATGCCAAGATTTTTAAATAGATGGGCTTAGACATATTAGCAAAGAGAAGGTCCTTATAAAATAAAGTAAGAAAATGGTATAATGGCTTAAGAAGAGGAAGAAACTACTATTCAGTTCATTTAGATTCTACCAAACCATCTATTGAAATAGACTGAGTTTCTTTTACAAGCATTTTTAAAGCAATTTTACGCAAGGAAAAGTTGCTCAAGGCCAGATGTCTCCAGCAGACTCCTACGCTGAGAACATACGGAAGATGATGACAGGTTTGCAGCTGCTCATCCGGTCTGAGCCACTACTAGTGTTCACCACTGCGGGATTGCTTGTAGCCAATGAGTCACTCTACACATCTTTCTGGGTGCTGAAGGAAGAAGTCCCTTTTGCAGGTAGTGTAAACAGTTCAGCCTTAAAGGCTGAGTTTTATTCAAACATTGTAAAATTAAAAAAAAAATAAAAAATTAAAAATACACTTCCCTACCTCCTCCACCCATCATTAGGATACAGAGGAGATAGGGTTAAGAGGAGAGCCCATCTGTGTCAATACTTTATCCAGCCACTGGAGGGGACCATGCAGGTGAACTTCTATCCAGCAAGGGGTGCTGGTAACATCTTGTCGGTGATATTCTGCTCCCCAGCCCTGAAGAACAAAGTTATAAAATGCATGTTTATTTCAATCTGTCATAAAAATAGAGCTCAACTGAAAAGCCAATACTACACTATAATAAAAATTATACAAAACATTTTTTTCCTTCTATTATTCTGAACTTCAGTTTATTCCACTGTATTTTATAAGCACATCTACTACTTAAATAATGCTCGAAGGCATATTCATAAACCATGATTTCTAAGATAAACAATACTTTCAATTATCATACTGTATTGCTGATCGCAGCCTGAAGAGGTTTTTTGCCGATCCGTTACTTTCTTAGCATTAATGTGGACGAACAGCATGCAGGAATTTGCCTAGGTCCACATATCACATCACACCATCCTCTATCAGATTAGAAATTCCCCTCCCCACTGGCCCGTTCCAATGAAGAGGCTTGAATACCTTGACAAAGCTCATGCGGATAGTGCACATTTTGGTGAGCTCATAGACTGCTTCAAACCCATGGTTGACAGACTGAGCCAGCAGCTGGGCGAACTCCTGGTTGTTGAATATCTTGAGGCTGCAACCACTGGGGATCTTGCAGACAGTGGTGGGGTGGAAGCCGTGGTGATAGTTACAGTTTCGGCTCTGGACGAAGATACTGGTGTCGCTCAGGCACTCCGCGTACACCTCACCCCCGACGTAGTAGAGGTGGACTCCTAAGAATGACAGCAGTGTTACCACCTTGAAACCTGAAACCTTATAAGCAAAGACTTCAAAAAGCAGGAAAAGGCCCACTAGCTCTTCTTACACACTGTCAAAATATGAACTCCATTAAATACTAACATATCATTGAAATTTTCAGTTTTGATCAATTTAGATTGAAAATAATGAGCCCTTCCATGGAACTTAAAAACCTTTTTATCATCAAAGGGTAGGAATTATCCCTTCAGTGCACAGCTCTGGAGTCCATCTTGCCTTCAGGCAGCACCTCAGGTTGGAGAGTCAGTGGCGAGCAAGGAACATGCACCTTTGCCAATGTGGCGGCGGGTGTTCTCTATGGTGGAGTTCCGGTTGACATTGGAGAGCAGCCCCAGACAGAAACGATTCTTGTTGTTGGACGGGTCTGTAAAGCCGTCAACCAGCACGCTGGTGGATGAGGCATGGTAGGCCTCTCCCACACGGTTGTTCAGCTCGTAGTACACGATCGAGCACCAGTGCCGGGGCTCCTCATACTCCACAGGCTGCACATCTAATGGTGAAGGTGGCAGAAAAAGGCAAATCATTAACACTCTACACTTTTGAACAGAGAAGAACAATAATCTGATTACAACCGTTTCTAAGGCAAGAGATTTTTCTTTGAAAGCTACAAAGAAATACATTTCTGCTTATTATGACCACGTATTGATTTATTCACCCTTGTAGGAGGTAGAGATGATTACTTAGCCACAATTAAGGTCGGTGTCACACTAGAGGACTCGACTTCTAGTTGGAGAGCATATCAAATTTAACAACTGCAGTTGCTGAATCTTGCTGCCTTTTCTGTCCTAGAGGGTGTCAAATTATACGACTAAGATTCACAGGGGGTGACTAATCACAAACTTCCCTCATAACTTTTCATCACGGTTCCAAATCTTGTATCAAAGTTCAACGAGCCTCTCCTCCATTTTCACAGTCCAAAACACTCACTTTCCTTCTTTCCTTGCAGCTGCATTGTAATTCCGGTGGAGCGCTCATTGGCTGTGATTGTCGCAGACTCAAGAGCCCACCCCTATGACTTGCGACTGGCTATGAGAAAATCAAACCTGTTTAATATTATCATAGCGGGTGGTGGGGTGTCACACTACACAACTGATAGTAACGGGCGCACTGTGACTCTCTCCAACTTGCTGTGATTTTGTTACGATTATGTAAACGAAGGCTACGACTGAAAATCTAGGAAAAGTTGTACAGTGTTGCGCCGGCTTAAGAAGCTTACTTAATACTGCCAGAGTCAAAGCCACACTTCCATCACCAGAATGAACAATCTGTCACATCTCATTCCTTAATATAGAAAACGAGCCAATTTGGTCTATTTCAAGTAATGTGAAAAAGACAATCAAGAACTTAATCAAAGAGTGATGACACACTATCCCATCTTTTCCTAGGAAGCAGAGCACAATGTGGACATCAGACTACCCACCCTACACAGATATCGCTTTACTTTTTCTTTACAGCTCCCCTTAAGTAGGTTGCACTGCAGCAGCAAAGCCTTGATCAGGGTTAGAGTATTTGTTATTAATGTTAGAAGGCAGGACAGAATACTCCTGTTCTTTGACTAAAGAACAAATTGCAGCTACAAAATACAACATCCTCCTACACTATACTTGGCAGTAATGATTCTAGACAGACAAAATGTTTTTTAACATACGGTGAATGTCACTAGTTTACATCACTTGAACATTTTCCTAATTAAAGTTCTAATTGTTTTATGTATCTTTTAATAGTCCGATACTTGCATGGACTTCTACCTTTCAGCACAACCTCAAAAATATACAATATCATTAAATGTATTTCCCACTTGACACACAAGTTTATTTGCATAGCTAATTCAGAGTTCACAAATGTCAGCTTAAAGGGGGAAAGCACTGGAGTGCATCATTCAGATAGACTGAACTACAATCAGCCTTCATTTTAATAGTATTTTGTAGTATTTTAACCTCTGACTTGTTTCCTAGATAAATTAATTGAGAACATATTCTTATACACAAGGAAGGCTTGTAAAGCGCTCATTCATAAAGCCAGATATTTACTGGAGCAACAAGGGGGGGAAAGAAAGACAACCGAAATGTCCTTTTGGGATTTGATCTCATGGTCCAGTCATGAGCCCTAACCAGTACTCCACTCTGCTGTCTTACGATATGACAATTTTCATACGTGGGAAGCTCATATCCACTAATCTTGACACACTTCTTTCTGCACAGGAAGCCAGAGCTCCATCTTTCTCACAGACACTAATCTATCTAAGGGCTGCAGTGCACAGGTGAGAAAGCCCTCACCTCCCCTGGGCATGTTCTGAGGGATCATGCTGTTCCCAGTGTCCATTGACTGAGAGCTGTCTTGTCCCATCTGCTCCTCTGGAGGCATGTAGGCAGGGGGTGGGGTGTCAGCTGCAAGACAGACCACAAAGAAAGGCGTAAAGACCAGCTGCAGCTGTTTCACACAACTGTCTCCTAGTGACCATAGTTCAGTGCAGGGAAAGCTGCCAGCAGAGCAGAGAGCTCTACAAGAAACAGCACTGTGGCCTCAGAGGACAAACAGGCTTTATAAATGTAGTGGATTAATAAGAAGCAGCACATTGCAGTGCCCCAGAAAAACATGTTTCAGATCTCAGATGAGATTAAATGTTTCACTTGACTGGTATGCTTATACTAGACTAGAAAAATGAATAAAGGAAAAAGGTTTGTAACAGGGTTATGATGAGAGTGGGTTTTAAGGTGAGCAAATAAACTGCACAGATAAATCATCATAGTAGTCTGAAGAAAACAAATGCAGGTGCAGTACAAGAAGTGTCCACAAGGTGGTGACAACAATTCAATGAAAATGCCAAATGAAGATCATCTTCAGATGATTCACACTCACAAGTAGTTTTACAAGCAGTTAACTGCAATTACCTTCAGGCTAGGAATAGTAAATTCAAATCAATTAGAGCAGAACATAATTTACCAGCTAAGATGAACACATTTTGATTACTGTGTGTGACACAGAATTGGGTTAAGTGCTAAGGTCATGCCAACAAATCAATCTCTATAAATCCTCTGCACTGCTTTCGAAAAAAATATTTCCAGAAATATACAGCAGCTTCAGACTGAAACCATGTTTAGCCCTTCTTGCAATAAAATAATGTATATGAACAAGTACATTCATGTTTAAAGACTGTTCATCAAACACAGGCTACGTTTACTCAATACAACCTAAACAGGTACTGCAAGTGCTGAATCATCCGTAGAGATTAAGCGGCGAAGACAGTCAAGTGAAAGTTTGACCAAGTCCACAACCCACGATAGAATTTCTGGGACGACTCAGTGGATTAATTTGTCCTGCTGCACACAAGGCATAACCCAGTTGATTCTGAATACTGTACTTAACCTTGGTTTGCTCCTAGCCAATTAAACACAGCCTGTAGATTTTTTTTTCTGCGTCAGCAAAACTGTGAAATATAGTTCCAGAATTACTAGAAATTGTCAGCACCGGGCAGTCAAGGCAGAGCAGTACAGAGGCTTTACGGTGTAGCTTACTCTGCAAATCGATTGTGAACTTCTACTGACCTTACTTTCAATGCCCTGTCACTGTGACTAAATAAATATTTGTTGCATTTGCAAAGCTCGGTTGCTCCCGAGTACATGCCTCTACCCATGACACTGCAAACTGTAATACTAAACATTCCCAACACAAAGCTTTCCGAATCCCTTTTTAAGACTGTTTATATTACCTCAAATTACATCAAAATGAGGTCAGAAAATTGCTGTCTGCACTGTGTTCTGCCAAGGCTTCTATATCCTAGACGTCAAACCCCTTCTTGTGGTTAACGTGTCACTGCGACCGTTGTTCAGTTACTAGAGTTTGCTAAAGCAGCAAAAAAGCATTCAGATTTGAGGGAAGACAAACACCTTCAACAAATCTGTGCAGATTTATATCGATTTCATTGGAAAGACAAGTATTAACCATAATGAACTCTTAAATGTAATGTTTGCAACAGCTGTACGCCGTTTTGTTCTATTTTAAAACCTGTGAACCCTGTGCAGCTGGTACCTGGAAGCTGGAAGGGGCTGGAAGGCCCGGAGCTGGCAGGAGAGTTGGGATAGGTGCCACTGCTGGCCGGCGAGGGGGGGTAGGGCGAGTTGGGGGAGATGGGAAAGGAGTTGCCCCCGCTGTGCTGCTGGAAGGACTCCGGGAAGGTGGCGTTGAGAGGCATGTGCGGCTCGTTGTGGCTCAGATTGCGGAACTGAACCAGCAGGCTGTGCTGGGGGTTAAACTCGCTGTGCCTGGGCACCAGCACTGGAGGAAGAACTAAACAGAAAAAAAAAGGGCAAAAGATTCAGTTCAACTTCACATTTTCAGAAAAAGTCTAGTAAAGTTTCCTCAAATCTCCTGCCGTTTTAACACTGGAGCATAACCCAGCATAGGAAAGGCTTCATGGTTAACAGAATGTTGCTACAGAGGAAAACTGGCTGATGCAATGATATTCTTTTTGCACTGTGCACTCTGTAAGGAGAAACTGAACGTCCATCATTATTTTACAATTAGTTATAGATCGAACTGATACATAGATTTTGATGTGTGGCTATATATTTATAAGACACCACACCGATTAATCACTCAGAAATATGGAAACCTTAAAACATCCTTAATTTATAGAAAAAGTTACAACTTCTGGAACCTAGACAATAATATTACTGAGAATCTCAAAGATTAACTTTGTGTGCAGATTTCCAAGAAGGTCTTCATAAGAGCTAAAAAAAACCCTCAAAAAGTGAGTCATTACAAATATGTTGTGGATATGACACAGAAGCTACCATTATGAAGGGAAAAACTATCGCCTGCTTTAGAAAAGCCTAAAAGCATCAGAAGAAAATGATGAAATCAATGCTCAAATTGAATTTGAAAATGTTCTATTTAAGCACATCATAAATGACTAATATAATCTAATATAGCAGAAGTTAATTACGGGAAGCTTCAGTTACCATCTGCATTTAAGTCACAATGTTAGCTGGTGTGGTTCATATTAGTGCAGTATCAAAATCGTGTCTTTCTTCATGAATTATAAATAGCCTCCTTGTGTGCTTATTTTTCAGAGGAATTAAAATATGAAGATTATGCTGGAGTTATACCTAGATTAAGAAAAACAAGAGAAAGAAAATTGTCTTACGAGCACCAATACTGTCAGCCATTTGGCTTATGAAAGCAACTGCAATGAGTCTTGGATTGCTATAAATTTAAGAATATTTTAAGACTGTTAAATTGTTGCCTTGTATAGGTATTGGATATACAACAAAAAAAATGATTAACAGCATTTTAGGAACAAAGTGCAAGGCTTAAGACTTTATAAACAGCACAACAAAGGCTGATGCATTTGTTAGTGAATTCCAGGGCTGGAGATAAAGGCAAATGGGAGCCTAAGCAAACTTTCTGGCATTTATCTTAGGATAAAAAGTCTGGCAAATGAAAAGCAACCCGACTAATTAGATCACAAGATTTAACTTAAATGAAAGCAGGGATACCCACTGGGACAGGCTTTCATCGCTAATACTTTCTAGAATGCAACACGCAGGATTCTCCAGCCTTGGAGTATGCGACATGTCAAACAACATCCAGCAACTGAACTGAAGCGGTATTGGAATGAAATGAACTGAACTGAATTCGGAGGGAGAGGGAATACAAAGAAAAACAAAAAGCAAAAAGAACTCCCATCTTCAGCTTCGAACATACCTGGGCTCTCTACTCGTTTGTAGTGGTAGGGGTTGATGCAGACCTCCTTCTGCTTGGAGCCAAAGGGATACTCGCACACCTCTAAGGGCTTGAGCTCGTGATGGCTCTGGAGGTCCGGCCAGCGCCACACCCGGCAGTAGATGACGTGAGGGAGGCCCTTCCGGTGGGACACCTGCAGGCGCCCGTCCAGCGAGCGAGGGATGGTGACACACTTGGAGGGCTGCCCCGGGCTGCTCAGCGCCTTCTCCAGGTCCTCCATCGCGCCCTTCTTCTTCTTCAGCTTCTTCACCAGGGCGTCGACGGCCTTCTCCGCCCACTTCTCCTCCTCGTCGCCCTGCTTCCAGCCCAGGAGCCGCTTCACGGCCGGGCTGGTGAAGGAGAACAGGCTGGACATGGACGTCATGGCGGCTCACCACAGCGCGTTCCCAGTCAAGAAGGAAGAGGAGCGCGGCGCAGGTTACTCCAGCTTCTCGCCTGCACAACACTCTCGTGGCGCAGATGTGTGGGGGTGCACCTACGTTTTCAGGTGAGAACTAAGGGAACGCTTGCCGGTGCTCACTCTGAAGCTCGTATCGCTTTCCCAAGTCAAAATAAAGGGGTAAAACACGGGAGATGAAACAAATAAGATTTAGAATCCGTCTTCAGCTGCAGCCGCAGGCTTTTGTCCAATTTAGCAGCAATGACCTTGGTGCGTACAGCAAACTTACTGCACAATCCAGCGGTAAAGAGTCTACAAGCCAGGAAGGTCTAGGGTCTTTCGTTGCTGGCACCATTCAAAAGGAGAGGAGGAGAGGGGACCACACAAAATTCTTCAACCAACCAAAGGGGGCATTACATGTCACCACCAGCTTCACCTGCAAGAAAAAACAGACTCTTGTATGTCCAAAGAACCAAAACAGCAAGAGAACAGATTGACTTTATAAAAAAACTACAGAGATGGTTGACCTCCATAAAGAACGCACACCACAAAGTTACAATAACTTCTATTTGAAAGCTGCCTCCACTGCATTTTTTTTAAAGCTAGTACATACCTGCCTTGTCCTACATTCAACAGTGTACTACATTGTGATGCAATTAAATAAGCCCTTTGCTTAGATTTTTCCAAAATATTCCATTTCAAGGCCCGTTTTCTATGCACGTACCTGTCTTTTAATTAAGCGTGTCTCATGAACAGAGAATTCCCACTCACCACACACACACCCAGCCCAGTTGTGGAGCCAACATGCAAAATGCAGCTGTTGAAGAGTCCTAAGCACAACTTAAAGAGGATGTCGGCTACTAAAATACATTTCCTCCAACCCCCACCCTTCTTCCCTCTCCACAGCTGCCAAACATCACTGTCTTTCCTTCTTCATACATTTTTGGAATGCAAAGCACTGGGCTGCACCCTCTTGATGCATGCAAGGTCTTCAGAAGAGAGGAGAGAAGGAAGGCAGGTGGTAAGCGTTCCCGTTTCTCAGTTAGGAGTCTACGAGAGTACAACTCCAGTTGTACTAAAAAAAAAATCAGGTGTTTCAATCCTTAAAACTCTATAAATTCACAACGGACAAAGTAAGATGTCCTCTATGAGGAAACAGGACAGGCGGTCTAAAAATTAAACTTGATTAGGCAGCAGCAACCAGGGGAAATTTCTATTTCTTAAGATAAGAGAATAAATGCTTTCTCAGGCAGAGAACCTTGTTACCCTAGCAGAGGTACTTCACAAAATTAACTATCACTGCCGAAAATTAACATCCTGCATAACACCCCCTATGATGCATGAGATCAAGTATACTTGATGCAGTATAGGCTGGATGATTCCATCATTGTTTCAAGGCTGTTGATTTTACTGTAACAGTAATCTCTGTTAAGATTGACTACAAAGAACTGTTTCATTTCTCATCCTAGGCTAGTAGGTCTTGTACTACCATACTCACTGTGCAACAAAAGTCACAGAATGTACTGTCCAACATTGTTTTGAAAAAACAAGTCTTGATCTAGTACTTCAAGGTTTTTTATTAGCATATCAACAGGAACACACTTTGAATAAACTTTGAATAAAGCATGTTTGTGCAGCTTTTATTGGAAATCAGCTTATTTGAGTCGGGTTCATCCTTACTTCAGCGTGGTTTGCAGAAAACACTTTCCATCATCACTCAAATGGGTTTCTGAAGAAGCAAATATAAGAACATAAAAGTAAGAAAAGCTGGGAGGTCCTTTAGTCCTATCTTGCTCGTTTAGTTACTACCAGCTATATGAATGAAAAATTCTCACCCAGCTGTTTTTGAAAGAAGCCAGGGAATCAGTTTCAACAACCAGGCTGAGTCTTGTTTCTCAGACATGGGTTGTGCAAAAATGTAAGACAACGAAGATTCTGTACATCTTTAAAAGTAAGCTGCTACATTACTTAACTGAAGACTTAAAACTGGCAAGAACTGTTTATACTGCCGCAATCTGAATGTTGTTTTTATCTTGTAATTAAACATCGCCCACAATCAATCTACTAAATAACGAGTAAAGAAAATGATTGATGAGAATGTCATGCAGCAAGAAAATGCAATGTATTCTCAGCAATGCTGATTTGAAGAGGTAAAGACTCAATAAATTTATTTTAAGTTTAAAAAGGTGTCCAGTGCTGACCTGGAGACTTCATGCATCAGGAAGACTTCTAGAAGATAGGGCCCGTCTTATCTCCAGCTGCAAGTGGTTGACAGGGCAATCCGCTATACTTATGAGTTTTGGGAGGCCTCAATGCTTTCCATGCAACGACAGCGAAATGATAATCTTAACTACAGGAAACTGGGGACACAGCTCCTACAGCCTGACAGCGATAACGCAAAGTATTTCACTCTTAGGACTTCCTTCCATTTCCCGCCACAGATGGCTGCAGTCAATCCTTCTCAGCTCACCACCACTGAAGAACTGCAAGCTCGCCTTTTGCATTCTGCAAAGTCAGGCAAGGACACTCCAGCTGTATTCTGTATTGATTTCTGAGTGCTCACTCTGACAAAATGCTTTCCTTTGCATACAGGCTCTAATGGTTAAGCATTTTATCAGTGATCTGTAAAATACACATTATTGTTACCAAGGCAGTTCTGTGCTACTGAAACAATTTAAGTCTTACTGAAGGTTAAAATTTATAAAGGGCAGCTAGTGACTTTTTTTTTTTGTGTTTAATAGACCCTATTTGCAGTGCAAATGCTGCCGATTACATTTGAAATATCAGCCTTACATCAGCATTAAAATTAACTTTTGAACTTTCAGAAGACCTGGGCTTCCTTGGTCTTAAAGCTCTGACATAAACATTGGATTTTAATTCACGGTGTCCAGGTTAGATTACAAAATGTGTCCATGTTGCTGCAGGGATCACTGAAACAAAGGGGGACAGTTTCTGAAACAGCAGGCTAGAATGCACTTTCAGAGCCAACTACAAATTCCCTGTGCTTCAGCCTGTGGACCCCAGAGTGCTCATTTTAGACCATGCTTCAGCGAGACTGAAACACGACAGTGCAGTCTCAGGGGTCTTAGATCACTCCATTTGCACTGCACTACAGTGTATATTATTTACTAATTCAGACAGTATGCAGTTGGAGTGAAAGGAGGCAAATATAAAAGCTGAATGGGACTTCTGTGCAGCAGTCTCTGGAGAACAATAGCAGCACCTTATTGAAGTCCTTTAGAAACAAGAAGGCAGTTATCTGAAGACTGAATTTAGTGTTGCTTCATGTAAATAAATCTAAGAGCAACTGTAGCTGTGCAAGGTGCAGCAGTGATGAACATCTTGCAGTAAATGTTGGGAGCTAATCTGAAATGTTTACACCAAAGCAGTTACATGCAATTTGAGATGCCCGCACAATGCAAGTAGGCCTCTACAGAAAAAAACATATGGATGGATGTAGATTATTCGTGACGTTATGCTCATTTGTTTCAAGCTTGCTAAACCCAAAATGTTACCCCTTTTTACTTTAAATCTAAGATATCTAAACCTTGATGGATTCTGGTTATTTCCACAAATCCCCACTCTGTGTACGGATCATATATATACTTTCTCAATTCTTAATATGCTTCCTCGTTTCATTCTTCATCTCCATCCAGAGGATACAGATGTTGGAAACTCATCAATTACTGCAAAAATCAGAAAATGGCCATAAGACGACTGCTCACATGTGAGAAAGCTTACTACGGCTTTCATTGATTCGACCTAAGTAGCTCTTGGGTAGTGTGTGGGAGATCATGTATCCTTTGACTGACACTCTTGGTAAAACTGATTTTTCGGAATGGCAATGATTTTAACGGATTCAAGATACAGTGATTGCTATAGAACAGGAATTACAAACTATGCCTGCCTAGTTCGTTTGTTGGTTATTCAATTACTATAACCAAACCACCACAGCTATATATTGGTGGCCAGGAAAATCTGTTTATCTACAATGCTGTCGATTTCAAAACAATAGCACCGACACTGTAGCTCAGTGCCAAGGAACAGAAACTGGAAAGGATTTATGAATTCATTCGTGCTTGTTTCAGTGAGACCCAAAACGTGCGGACGTGAAAGTACAAAATGCAGACAGGAAGTGTCAATAAGAAAAGCGGAGCATCCTTCTGTAGACCGTGCAGATCAAGTAATTAACCAGAACCAAGTTTATTCGGTATTATGAGAGTCTTCCAAAACAATTGTTTTTGTAAGCAGTGACTATGTTTTGTGTTGGTTTACGACAATTGAGCGTCCAACACAATAATCTCGACTCCTGTGGGAAATACACGTCGAGTAGGACAACTCGATTTGCTAGAAGTGTTCCGTAAAGACAAATCCGAAGCTTAAATTCCCTTTTTAGTAAAAAAAAAGGGGAAACGGGGGACAAGCAGTATCCATTCGACTGCACTCCTCGACACCGCCAATAAGCCTAAAACATGAACTTCAACGGGAGCGTCTATCGTCCCAATACAACGACCCTCTCAACTTATTCGAGATGTAGCAAGTTGAAAGAAAGCAAAGACGTGACACCACTTCGCAGGCTGGCGCGTAACGCACGAAAAAGGGAAATTTGCCGCAAAAAAAAGGCGGATAAACCAGTTTCTAAAAACGAATTGATAAAAGCGACACGGCTGGAGAAAACGCATTCCTAGCGTGAACAAAGCTGGCCTAACCCCCTTTCTGTCTGGCGTTGACGGGCTTCAAGCGGACTTACAGATTTACACAAAGTAACACTGTAACTGAAACGAACGAAGTTCCTCTTTCTTTCCAGCGCGATTCAAGTTCGGCTCCTCGGGAGAGAAAAAAAAAACCTGTTTCTGACGCCATGTCTGCAGACTCGCTCATTCCTCAATGCCCCCCTCGCAAAATTAGGAAAAAAAACTTTTTCAATCACTTCAACACCCCACCCCCATGGAAAAAAAAAATCATATTTACCCACAGGAAGTCCTTTTTAAATCAGTAAAACGCTCTTTACTTAATAAATGGAATAGCGTTTGATAAGATCACATACCTTTAAGGAAGTGGCGAGTTCCCCTAATCGTTTTCCTTCTGTTTTTTTTTTCTCTCTCCGACATAAAGTTTTTTTTTTTCCCTTTTCCTCGGTGCCTCTCTCCCCCTCTCTCTCCCGTTTCTGAAGTCCTGGCGTCAGGAAGGCTGGAGGCGGAGCGCCGCAATCCATATCCCTCCGCCAGCCGCAAACTCCGGATTGTTGCACTGCGCGCTGCCCGGCCAAGGTTATCGACTGGGGACTAGGCTGCTGAGAAATTAGAGAAGCCCTTTTATTTATTAATAGGTGTCTCCAAGCGCTTGTGCACAGCTCTCTCCGTATTGCGATATGGAGTACGGCAGATAAGAAGGTGTTCTTTTTTGTAGAGTGCAAGTTTATAAAGGAAATGTAGATATAAGGCCCGCAGCTTTTATTTAGCAGGTATTTCATTTCAATTGCTTGCACACAAACCAGCATGGAGGTATATTTCATATATTGTTTTAGTTCTGTGTGTCTGTGTTATTCCACTTTTCTTTTATAGTGAAGCTAACACATTTCTTACTGTAACTCACACATTTTCTTCTCTTCTGGGTATGAACTGGAGAAGATGGTACTGTTGGTATTTCCAGTGCTATTATTGCAGTGACAGGTGTCCATTTGTCCTGGGAGCTCTTGAAAAGCAAAAAAAAAATCAACAACTTTGGCAGCTATAAACCTAAAACCTGGTTCTGATTTTTTTTGTGAGTGTATAGGACAAGGTGATGAGGTCTTTTCTTTTTCCCTGCGTTGAAATTTCTGAGGTTGTAGGATAAAACTGTATGAAGTTCTGGACAGTTGTTAGTTCTGTGTTTCCTTTTACTGCAACAAATTCCATTTCCAGGTACAAAGTGCTTTTTGAGTCAAACCATGGAGCAGGACTTAATAGAGTCAGGTAATGCTTCAACTCACCTTTCTTCTGTGTTTCCCCAAATTTGACTGGAGCCCATGTTTCACTTTTTTTTCTTCATTCAAATACAATACAATACAAATGACAATTTTCATTCAAATGTGTAATTCTAACACATCTAACATGTCACATTTTTTTAAATAATAACATCCAAATCGATACATATCAGTCAGATGTTTACTTAATACCATTTAAAAAATACTAAATAATGCAAGATATGGAGGATTACTTTAATGTCTCCATAAGAGTTCTCGTTACAGATCAACACTCTGGAAACTTATCTGAGAGAGCCTAGGGATCAATGTGCACTTTCTAGTATTTTAGGGACCCTTTTTTTACAAAATATCTGTTTTGTCATACATATGCATAACTGTTTGGGTTGTTTGCTGTAGGGCCAAACATATTACTTTGGTAATAAATCTTGCGTTTTAGCATAAGACGGAGATGGGATATAATCAGATTTCCAGTTTGGCCTTGCAGCAGTATTTACACAACAAACATGTGTTCTGTCCTGTCTGTGCCATTGGTTATTGCCATTGCTGGTACGTTTTTTTCTTCCTGTGTGATATCATTATGTGAAAAAGCGAAATGAAATGGACTCTTTTTCCCTTCTGGCTACAAGTAAAGCTACTATGTGTTTACACTTTACAGAGGAGATCCAAGCTCTTTGCTGTTGTTAGTTACACCCCAGGGACCCAGTGTCTAGACAGATTCACAGTATAGGCCTGCGTTACAGCTCCAATATTCCACTTTACATTATATACAAAATGTAGATAACAAGAGGGTTTTTCATTTCAAGATGCTCATGACCATTTTAAGCTATAATAAAATACTGCAGATATATGTCTATGAGGATAATAGAGTTGATAAAAAACATACCCATTCAATTATACCGACTGAAGTGCGTAAAAAATAAACATACATGTTCCATGAGATTGCGACATGAATCCCCTCCTCTTATTGAAAATGATCCCCGATGGACCTCAGGTGCCAGGAGAGTTCATGCGTGTATGAAACACTACTCTGTAGTATTCATTTAATTTCAATATTAAATATTATAACTACGGTTTTAATCTTAGATCTGCTTAATAATTTAAATACAAATTGAGTTGATATCATTTTACATCATTCCGATGTATTTTTCAGATTTCTGAAATGTGCCGTTATTTTCAAAATAGCATACGGAATACAAATCAATGATAGAACAATCGCCAAAACATTTAATTATAATCAATACTTTCAAAACATTTTGTCAATACGCATCTGGGAATGGAGAATTATCTCGCCAATATTTAACATAAAAGGAATCCGTTTGCCGTTTACCCTCATTCTAAGAAATATGTGTCATTAGATGAATCAGTAAATGTTTACTCATTAACTGAGAGTCAACAATGGTTATTTTCACTTTTTCCCAAAACTTTAAATCTCTTCTTTCACAGTGAGCCCAGTAAACCTGCGGAAGGACACAACCTACACTAATTTATTTCTATTGTTTTCAGGGTAAGGGCGTGCTGAGGCTGGGTGACGTCACATTTTGGCTCCACCAAGTCTGGGATTTAAAAATCCACGAAAATACAGAGAGGTGATCGTATGGGCGAGCTAAACACTTTCGCTAAATAGAAATAATTTCAATTAAAAGAAATCGAGCTTAAGGTGTAAATAGTATCCGTTTACAGAACGCTAGATGCTACATAAGCCAGATTGCTTATGTAAACTGACATTGAACTAACTGCTTTTAGAAACTGATTTTTTTGTTTTACGTGGGCACAGAATATCTGCATTTCACACTGTCTTGATTTGGATTTTCTACATTACAGTGAATAATGCACCACAGTATTTGTTTAAGCGTCACCACTGTCAGTGGTTATTAAATACCAGTGCAAGTTTGTAATGCGCTGGATATTGAAAACAAAAGGTTCAATACGAGTGTTCTTCTGTTCAATACTAGTGCTCATAGATCTCATAGCTTACACGATGTTACAGTTTAAGAACGAGTCTTTATGTGTCATTTTTAGAAAGCAGTGCCTACAGATTCCTTTCCAATGCTTTTAACTGGATGCAAGATGACCACCATTAATCCATACACAATATGTGGGATGCTCTTGACAGGATATCTGTCCATTAGATCAGGAGGGCACTATGTCAGGGAAAGTGATACAGAGAGAGCTCCAGGAGTGCTGTGAGTTGATCCCTCACACTTACATGTTACTTACTATTGTGGTGCCACGGGGAAAAGCGCAGGCCCAGTAATTTTAGGGCCATGTATTAATAATAAAAATGAAAAGGTCCTTTGGAGACGCCTATAAGGAAAACAATATCAGTGTACATTTAAATGCATTTGTGTCACATGTAAATTGACATTTCACTTATGTATGCGTTTCAGTTTCATGTAATAAATATAGTATATGTATGCCTTCATTTTCCAGGGTAAAGACATTGCAATTTCATAGTGTTGGTGTGAGTCTGGCATTCGGTCATCCTCTAAATATAAATCCAAGTTCAGGCTGTGAGCTGCTCAATCTCACCCCCTGGTGGTTTTTCAGGGCAAAATGGATAGGATCCTATTGAAATAAACCAGAGGACAAGGTGGTTGTAGATTCAATGCCCTAGCCTAGCAAAATAAAATGAGCACCTGTGGCATATATATCTTTCATTAAAAATGCGCCCACAGCAATTTAAATCCTTTAACACTTCGGCAAATGCCTGAAATCCCATGTTAATGTTTAAATAAATCAACAATTTCCCATTCTTACTGTAACTTATATAATGCGGGAGACTTATGTAGTCTGTTGGTGGAAGTGCGGTATGGCTTGCTCATTAATTATTTCACGTGGGTCCGAAAGAGGAAGTGTTTGTTTTCAGAACATGCCCTATGTTTAATGAGCATGCCATGCCAGATGATAAACTGGATAATGGCGACATGCCCCCATTATAAATTTTGTCCGTTTGAAAATTAGAGAATGGATAAAGTGTGTGGCTGGGAATGTGTTTATTAAAGCATGATTATTTAGGGGTTCTTAGCTGTGGCTATACTAAAAGTGGTTTTCCTGTAAGTTTGCAGTAGGTGCAATAACATGAAATATGGTTTCGGAGGTCACTTTTGTTGAGGAAGTAGGCAATGATGAAAATTGAAAAAATAGTGTATAAGATATTCTACTAATTTAAATGACATTCATGATCAGTTGGTTGAAATGCTGTTCTCTGTCTTTCACATTAATAGATCTGTCAGACATGTGGCCACCTCAATACCAATACGAAAGAAAAAAAGCAATTGTTTTTTTCCAGACATGGGAATTTGTAATTGTCTGACACTGTACAGTACATGGAGACCATTAAGTGCTAAATAACTGTTAACTGTATGAGGCGTGAGAAACTGTCTCTGACTGACAGGTTTTAGTTTGCTCGGATTAAGTTTGCAGAACAATGAGTGGAGCTGCCTGCTTGATGATTTCTTTAGAAAAATGATTGGATTGAACAAAGCACAGCATCGGTCCTCCACACAGGTTATTTTAGAGCATGTAACTCCACCTCAGCTTCCCAAACATCCAAAGATTCCTTGTCTTTTCTTTCTCTCAATGTTGTTGCATATAAAGCCCTGTGATTCCAAAGTAAAATTGTTAAAAATTCCCCTCCCTATTGCTATCAGTAGATGAATGCATAAATAATTATCCCTGCAGCAGCCCATTATCACATAGTTTTCCTGTCAACTCACCATTGTTCAATGTTTGAGTATGAAGCCTGGAACTGAGTGCCTATTGTTTGCAGATTAATGATGGTTTAATGCGGTCTGCAACCCTTTTTCTAACAATTCATCATGGACTTTTGACCCTGGTTATGTGAACTGCATAGAAAGAGAGAAAAAGCCTGCAGTAAATTGGGATGCACACGACTGAGATAAACAGCTTATGCTTTAGCAGACAAGCAATTTCTTTTTTTTTTAACCATTGTTGCAAAATTGATTTTGAATTTCTGAAAGGCTGTGAAGGGGTCAGATGAATGTCCACCATGAAGGTGTGTTTTCCAATTTGAACTGCAATGATCCTTATTCATTGGTTGGATACTGTTGCAGAGGGTTGTTGCTTAAATGATTAAAATGTGGTTGTTTTTTTATTGGTGCTAAATTTTTAACTTGCAATGATAATTATTATCCTTAGATAATTGGGTCATTTTAAAACAGTCAATTTAAAAGCAATTTTTGAAAATGCGGACAGTTACTGTACCTATGAAGGCACCAGGCCATCCAGGAATT